TTTTCTGAATTGAATCTTGTCAAATTTACACATTGGTGGAAAGTAACATCATCGAGCTCAATACTTTTTCCACTGCACAGAGAAGCAGAGTAATGCATCATGCTGGTAAGCAACACAAAATGGTACCATATAGCGGCTGAAACTAACATGAAGGCCAAACTGAGAAAGCTACATACTAACATGTTTGAAGAGACTAGAAAGTAAGCCTTGAACTCTGCAGAAAATGGAAGAACTGAAGTACTACGTTGTGCTCTTTTGTCCAACATTTAAGGGCATATTTTACTGTTTTAGTTACAGAGGTAACTGATATGGCACATCGAAGATAAACATTTTGAAAGTACGAAAACATGCTTGGAAGCACTAGAAACCGATGTTCTGTTACTTTCAGATTATGTCATCAGGTAAATCTTATTTATGGTCCCTGGCCAACTTCTTAGGCAATTACTATTACCATCTGTATGTTTTGTACCTTAGGCATGGTGAAATAAATATATTAAAACTTTACATTTCATTAATGGTATAAGAAGCATGTATGATTTTTCTTTAGATATTCCAGATCATCCCATAACATCCAGTATAGGCCACATAATGTATACATCACCTAAAGATCCGTCTTTTGGTCTCACAATTAACATTTATCATCAGACGCAATGTTAAACAGGGTCAGATAGGTGGCTGGACGACACTCCTCTAGTGGAGAAATTTCCAGATCTTTATGCAATCATTTCTATGGATGATTGCTATTCCATAGGGGGATGCAACATTCATTTAGGAAGGAACTTGTATGACTAGGAGTTTGATTGCTTAAATGACTTAATTCAAAAGCTGGAACCTGTTTCTCTTGATGATCAGGCGGTGATTCTTTGTTGTGGAAGGTTAAGTAAGATGGCAAATTTACTGTCAAGGCATGTCATAAAGCCCGTTGAAGAAAAATGGCTAGAATCCATGAACTTGTTGGCCATGGAAGATAATTTGGAAGTCACTCATGATGCATGGGAAAATAATCTGGAAGTCACTCATGAAGCTTGTTTAACCTAGGATAATCTACAGAAAAGGGGTCTCCCTATGTGCAATAGATGCTTTGTTTTAATGATGTAATCTGTGCAATAGATGCTTTCTAGATGAAGAGGCTAATGAATCAATGAATCATCTACTTCTCCACTGCAGTTTTACCAGGAAAATTTGGTCGGTGTTCCTGAGCATTTCTGGCGTCCAATGGGCTTCTTCAGGAAGTATAAAACTTACTTTATGCAGCTGGTATGCACAGCCATTTGCTTGGGGAAGCAAGCACTATCGGAATGCAGCTACTTGCATTTTCTGGAATACTTGGCTAGAAACGAAAAATAGATTTTGTAATAATAAGATCGATGACATTGCACATGTAAAATCTAGATGTTCCAAGAGTCTTTATTGGTGTAAGAAGAATGTTGTATCTAACATAGCCTCTTTGTTGGATCGGTTGAATTCCTCAATATATCGAAGGAAGACCTCTCTTCTGACGTACTCTTATATGTACTTCTTGGTAATTAATTAATAAAATCTTAACCTTTAGCCCAAAAAAAAACTAGCGTCAGTGGGAAAGTTTCATGAACCTTCCACATCCAGAAAATTCATTTTAATTCTCTTGAACAACCCATCCCTGTTTCCTTATTGAGCATAATATTGATGTTCCAATTAGATTCAATGAGAAAAAAATACGTCAATTTGTTATTTCCTTTTTGAGGAAATCTAGTTTCTGACGAATTAAAATCTTCAACTTTCTTCACAAAACCAATGGAAAGTGTACACAGTAACCTAATTTGAAAACTACTTAAGTGAACCCTACTGAAACAAGTAGCTCAAGAAGCAAATTCCGCAGACATAATTTCTGTGAGTGAGACACAAGTATTCAGAAGCTACCTCTTAGTTGGACGGGATTTAAGCTGTGACTCTTTCTCAAGGCCAATTTTATCATTTAGCCCCAACTTCAAATCAGGCATTCCAGAAAGGAAGCATTTCATGAGAACTTTCCCAGTTACATCACAACGGAGCACACTACCTATAATTGTCATGTTAGTGTAAAACTGAAAACAAAAAATCATCCAACAAGACACACAAGACCTTTATACCTTTTGAAGACATAAGCAGATTAACACTTTCCACGATATCCAGAAACACCTGTCA